TTAAAATGTGGAGCTTTACACACCAGTTTACGTTAATGTGCAATCCTTTTTTAGCCTAGCACTATACTGTTATTTATGCCGACTGTATGAATTCACTATATATATACAGTATATATATATATATATTTACTGCTGTCTGCGGGAAAGGGAATGAAATAAGCCTAATGGTTAGAGAGTCGGACTCGTAACCCAAAGGTTGCGGGTTCGAGTCTCGTACCGGCAGGGATTGTAGGTGGGGGGAGTGAATGTACAGCGCTCTCTCCCACCTTCAATACCACGACTGAGGTGCCCTTGAGCAAGGCACCGAACCCCCAACTGCTCCCCGGGCGCCGCAGTAAAAAAAATGGCTGCCCACTGCTCCGGGTGTGTGTTCACGGTGTGTGTGTGTGTTCACTGCTGTGTGTGTGCACTTTGGATGGGTTAAATGCAGAGCACTAATTCCGAGTATGGGTCACCATACTTGGCCACATGTCACATCACTTTCACAACTGAAAATGATATAGCTCAAATGAAAGCGGAGTATCCATAAACATTTTTGTGATGGCATACAGTACAAAACATTACTTTTTTTTTTTTCAGTCTATTCTGACAAGACTTTTGCAGTTCTCACAATTTTAACAAAATCATCCTGAGTTTTGAACAAAAAGAAAGAGTTTGTAAAACCTTCAAACATGGCATTACGAAAGCTTGTGGGATGCATCAGTAACGTGACATGACAAACGTGTGCGGTGCTTATCTTTATGGAGCTGTATGTCCTCTTAGTGTGATCTGATGCACAGATCTGTCCTATAGATGGTTCTGGGTGTCTCGGGTGACTTCTGTTCCCAGGGCTCTTATCTCATGTTATTGCCAGGCATTTTCTGAAATTTGTCCCCGAGGGCCTTATTACTCCACACCTATTGATTTGTGTGTGGTAGATGGAAAGTGAGCTATAGATGTACAGTATGGATGGATGGATGTAAATTAATGAGTGAACATCTTTGGTGGTACCAGAGATTTAGAAAGTAGTCATAATAATAATAGTAATACATAGAGTTCTCTTTAAGTAATATATGATGGGAAAGATTATACACTAAATGTCCATACATGGTCAATAGGGGTTTTGCATTAATTTCCCCCATTTTTTAAAGGGGTCATATGATGCGATTTCAATTTTTCCTTTCTCTTTGAAGTGTTACAAGCTCTTGGTGCATAAAGAAGATCTGTAAAGTTGCAAAGTCGCATAGAGGAGAAACAATAATGTACAGTATGTGGAAAATAATGTGTTTTTTTAACCTTAAACCGCATAAACACATTTCAATACATCAAATACACAAAATAATGATCTTTTTAGCAACATCATATGACCCCTTTAAAATATATCTATTACAAAAATGCTGTTCTTTTGAACTTTCTATTCATCAAATAACCTTAAAAAGGTTTACATGATAATAAGCAGCAATATTAATAATAACCGGAATATTCAATATCAAAAAATGTGTCTGGAGCATCAAATCAGCATATTAGAATGATTTCTGAAAGATCATGTGACACTGAAGACTGGAGTAATGATGCTGAAAATTCAGCTTTGCATCACAGAAATAAATTTCATTTTAAAATATATCCAAATAGAAGTTTTTATTGTAATAATATTTTACAATATTGCTGTTTTACTGCATTTTTGACTGTATTTTTGATTATAGATATATACTTCACTTTCGATTAACAACATATTTGTAGTAGTTTTTACATATCAGTCTTTATTCTCACATCAGCTCATTTCAACCTAATTTAATATCCTTTTGATAAGCAGGATTCTGCTTATGTAAATGTATTAATGTAAGTTTTTGAAAAAACAAATTGTACCAAAGGAAGGTTGTTAGTTAAGGAAACAGTAAAAAAAAATGCAGTTGCAATTTACAGTCTCTCAGTAGTGATGCACTATCATAGCCTAATGTGAATCTACTGTATTGAACTTGGTTAAAAAATGACTAGTACAGTAATTGAGGGAAGTCGACTGTTTCTTAAACAAAGGGAAAAGCAGAAGCTGGATCAGTCAGGAAACTCTAGTTTCACGATGTTGTAATATTGTGCCCAATCACATCCTCGCTGTACTGTTTGTTTTCGTGAGACACGTTTGCAGTCAGTCGTGTGTTTGTACGTCTCCGCTGTCTGTGCAGAGCTCGGCCAGTGTTTGAGCAGAAAACTGCTGTCATCAGATGAAGCGTCTCATCAGCACAAACGCTGAATCTGTCACGCTGGTCGCGGCTCAAAGCCTAAAGAGCTGAGCGCTCCACTTCACCGTGCTAACTGTGGGAGATCTGATGAAGACTGGGAATCGGGATCATTTTTGCTCCATGCTCATCTGTTTTTTCAGTGCCTGTCAGATTTTCTCCTTCAAGCTATCTTCATTGCCTCCCTAAATTACCTTTTATGCTGTTTTATGCTTTTTATACTGTTCTCATTTAATTAGCCCCTCTGTCTCGGTGTGTTTAATATGCTAACTTTACTCCCAACCTATCAATTTGGCATTGTTTTTTTTGTTTTTTTCCTAAATGAAAGAACGGGACAGTATTGGATCAGGAGGGCAACATTCGCTCAACATGTCTAAACTGGTTATAATAATAATTATTATTGTTGTTGTTGTTGTTGTTATTAACAACAACAGGATAATTACTTTTATTAACAAAATGTTTATCCAAATGTACAGATAAACTGTGAATTAATGGTTAAAATATATTCAGTACTGTGTATACAGTAAACGCAGAATCCATGTTGTTAAATATTATTATTATTATTATTGCTTACTATTACATTTAATAATATTAGTATTTAATTAACAGTTAATTAACTAATTTTTATTTACTATTTATTTTTGTCATATTTATCATTTTTTTAGTTTCGTAAATATATATATATACATATTAAAATGTAGTCTAAATCTATATTAATTAATAATTGCAAATTAATGGACTATTATAATACAATCTATGTTACTACTACATTCTACATTTAAAGTAGTATTTTATTTTTGTAAATACATTATAATGCAGTCTAAATTGTATTCTTATACAACATTAATATGCAGTTATTATTGTTTATAATAATTGCAAATTATGAATTGTAATATAACAATATTGATATTTGATTGATTATTCTTAGTAGTAGTAGTAGTACTGGTGCTGCTTTTAATATATTTTATTCCCATTTAAGTTTTGTAAATGTGATAATTATGATTATTATTAATCTTGGAAACGAATGACTTTAGTCTCTAGAATGCTGTGTTGACCAATGGTCAGTATAGTTTTATCATTTTGCTTTTGAATGTCTCTCAGTTCTGTATAACACATTCTTATTTGTTATATTTTTAGGACATACCCCATACAGGACGTCCCAGTAGAATCAGAGGCGCTGGCAGATTGGCTATATCAGCGATTTGTGGAAAAGGAGAAACTTCTGGCTCACTTCTACAAGACAGGTAGTTTAAATAACGATCGAATTACTAGAGATCTAGTTTCCCCAATCTATTGATTTGTACATATTCATCCTCCAACTAAAACCAAACTTGCTGACGAGTCTCCATCTTTCCTTCATCTCGCAGGAGCATTCCCTCCACTAGAAGGCCAAAAAGAGTTGGTCTCCCGAAACATGACCCTTGACAACGTTTGGCTGTTTTTCGTCCAAACGTTCGCCTTCGCCTCAGGCTACATGTGGTACAGCATTCTACATCACATCTACTGCTGGTTCTTCTGACCGCTCTGAGGAGAGCGTAACGTGCAGGATGGAGGGGGAATGCCAGAGACCAAGAGCCCTGATTGCCATTCTCCTCTGCCGGATGGTTGAATGTACCCCGCAGGACGACTCCAGTTGCTGTATCCGATCGCGGTCCAGACACATCCACCCAATCCCAGCTGCCCGTGCAGACATGCGTTTATCCTTTAGATTTGCGTAGAACCAGTTCAACATGTTTACACATGCGCGCTCACATGCAGAGAGAAGATTATGCACATCTAAATGTTTACTCGTGCGTTTTTTTTTTTGTTTAACTTTGTTTTTACTTACAATCAAAATTAGGCTCAGGAATAAACCAGAGATAGATCTGTCACGTCCTGCCACGTGAGGCATCCCCCCCCCCCCCTTTTTTTTTTTAACACCACGGTCCCACCAGTCTTTATTTCTGTCCTTTAGTATTTAATGATGCTCTCTGTGGTAACAGTATCAGATTGCAGGGGGGGGGATGTGGAGAGACTGGTTTGATGGCACTGACTACACAAAAGACAACAGATGCCACAAATGGCATTTTTAAATGAGGGTTGGGGGTTGTCTTTTTGAAGCTTTTCACACTTTAAATGGATAAGTCTCAGTCAATCAGTAAACACCTTTGGTAAAAGCGCAGTAGTCGGGTGTAAAGTTGGCGGCAGTGTTTACTCATAATCTTAGTGAACGGGGGAATTAATTGGCAGTTTGCAGATAAAAAAAGTTCACCCCAGCTTTGTTTAGAATCTCCAAGGGATAGGACTTTCAGGTTTTTCAGGGAGGCCTATGGATGGAGATGTTTGGTTTGGGGATGTTATGATCGTTATTTGTATTTCCTGTGCTTGAAAAGTTGAGTTTTTTATCGTTAACTCCCAAACAGGATGACTGAAATTTTTTTCAGAGACCGCTGTCCTCTTTGGAAGAGACTCCTCTGGCCTTCATTGCACTATGAATCCTTGTCACCCCCCAACGGAAGACCCTCGGTTGTGTGCTGCCCTCATGTCATTTCTTCCTCGTGGCCGTTTCGTCTCGCGTTGACTGGATGCTGTTTTCCGTGTGTATTGTCAGTATTGAAAGATGTTTACACTGACTGAAGGGGGATTTGGTTTTGATGACGTGTGGGGGGGGGATTTCCAAGACGAACCTGGCTCTTGTTTTAAAACAAGGAGAGAACTTTACACAATCAATGCCATACAGACACATCCAAGCGCACCACATGACTGCCACACGACTGATTCGATAGGACAAACACCCCTCACTTCCAAAGTTTTGCAAATATTAAGCCATATGCTTATCTTCGGGTCAAAAGGGGGCGGACATTCTACTGACTGAACTTTTGTGTTCGTTCATTGTCCTAAAAAGGTTTTAATTTGTTGGTTTTTGAGTCTCAAACTGGTCTCATTTCTGTAAACGCGACAGCATAACCTGCCTGCGTGATTGTGTGCGACTGCCCGTTGCTTTTTTTTCTATTTTTTTTAGACGCACATAATGTCTGGTAGCTTCATGTTATTTCAGAGTGTTGGCAAATATCTGTTTAATAGTTGAGATTTCACGTTCTCTTTCCTCATTCTGTGGTTAATCTTGTACAGAAAGGAGTCCAAGCTGCGGTCGCTCTCCACGTTTTTACTTCTGAAATATCATGAATGTTTAAGAAAGATGGAGGAGGAAGCAGTAAGGAGCTTCTGTCTCGGCAGGTGCTTACGTTTCTCTCAGTATCTGAGCATCACCTCGTCTGCCGTTTGCCGTCTTCTGCGGCGATCGCGTGGGCGCATTTCTGTTCGTCAAAAGAAACAATCTTAAAAACTGCTGCCACGCGGAAGGGATCAGAGGCGTAGATTCGATTTTGTGCCGAGGTACAAAATATTTTAGACTATCTTGAGGAAAATGGAAACGTTCTCCTCGAGCTCGAGACAAAATTGCGTTTTTCATGTGTGAAATTGGATCTGTTTGTGTGTGTTGTCGGTGGGGAAGAATGCCGTGCTCGAGTCCGTCTACGTGCTCTCATCGTGTCGGAAGGGAATATATAGGCGAGGTCCAGCAATAATGTACTCGAAAATAAACGCCCATGTTGTGGCGTTCTAAAGAAACGATGCTTAGATGTACAAATTGGACATTTGTAGGTGAAAACATTGTCATTTCCCCCTTTAACCGAAGCCATGTCATCTGTGAAAGTGAACTTTGTTTCTATAGCTTGCCAGATTGAAATGTGAATGACGCCAGAAGACTAGAGCCAAGTTCGATGCGGACTGCATTCAGAGCAGGCTACGTCACCGGGAGCTTCACCGCGAGGATCTCAGATGCCAGGTTCCTTGTCTCGTTCTCGCTGTCTGTCAGATTGAGACGTAACATTGTTTTCCTAAGTATGGTTTTATGTTTTTAAAACAGGTGTGAGATATCTCTATATATTAGCAATTTAACCAAATTACAATAGAATGGTCCATAATTTTCATTTTGTACTCCTGTTTCTCTTCCTAGCTACCCAGCCATTTTACAACGCACAAATTAATTGTGCTGGAATAAAAATCATGCGCAGCAGTGACCCACGGGCTCTTCTCTGAGTGTTATTGTTCATCGGAATCATTCTGATCAGGCGTTTAAAGTCGATGTGAATCGCAGTGTTTGTTCTCTGGATTAACATGCACCAATGAATCATTCACAGTCAAATTTGGATCATGCGTTAGATCAGTTTTGATATTTAAACACATGCCTGTTGTATGTTGTCCTTTTCTTTCTTTGCTGGAAATGGTGTTCTTGGAAGCCCTCAGAATCAAATGCTAACCTATATCAGATGAGTACACACATACTTCTGAATGTTTAAAAGTGGTCCTGACTGACTACAGTGATTTTTTCTTCTTCTTCTCCACAAACCTTTAGCTTTTGAATGATTGTATTAATGCCTTTTTAAATACTTTATAGCAAGACGCTTGAAAATATAACATGGGAAATTAAGATGGAAGAAGAAAATAATAGCTCATTTCCAAAGACAAGGGATTACATTTTGAGGGGTCATGTCATGGAGCAAAAATGGATTTAATATTTCCAGATGCCCATTCTGTCCTTTCTTTTATGTGGCCTTTATAAGGAAGAACATTTGAAGCACGTAGATGCTCATAAACTAACCACCTGTGCCTCGTAATTGAATTTAGCTCAAATAATGCATCTTTCCCAATGAAATGAAGTTATCTCCTGTCTTTCTGGCTATATGTGCAAAGCTCATATCCTGTAAAGGCTTCTAGAGGAAACAGGGGAAAGGGCTTTAGGTGAACTTTGGCCCTGCCACACCCAGACCCGTTGGGCACGATAAACACACTGCTGCCACCAAGCGGACAAACAGTCAATTTACAGTGTACAATGCATATAACTAATCAGAATTAAGTTTTGATATATTTACGGTAGGAAATGTACAAAATATCGGTAACACTTTCTATGAAGCCCATATTTATAATACATTATAAGGGTTTTCTTAAGGCATTATAATGAATGCATAATGCATTATAAAAAAACATATCAACTCATGAATAATCATAACAACAGTTATAATACATCATAATACTTACGTATTTGTGGTTATAAGTTTAAGAGTATGATTATTTATAACACACAATGAACACCATATTAAATCTACTTCATTTACAGTATAATGGACTGTATCATATCTTGACATTGTTTATTTAAGATCTGCACAGTATCTTAGTACAGCTTGTGAGTGGTTAGATGTTGAGTGTTATTTGAGTGTTTCCTGTGGAGCTAATGTTAATTCATTGATGTGAGCTTTATACTCCAACTGAAAAAAAATGCAATGTTTTCTATGGTTACATTTTATTTTGATGGTCCCCTTAATCAATCGACTATAAGCAACTTTGCAACTACATGCCAACTAACTCTCATTAGAGTATTAGTATGCTCAAGAATGGTAGAATCTAGTATGGTAGAATAAGTTGACGTACTTGCAAAGACACTTATAGTCAGTTTATCTGTTGGTTGACCATCAAAATAAAGTGTTAGCAAATATTTACAGTAGCAGACATACTAATACTCTAATGACCGCTAGTTGATATGTAGTTGCAGAGTCACTTATTAACAGCTGTTTAAAGGGTACCATCAAAATAATCAAACTGATGTTACAATAAAAATAGTTAAAAGCAAATGTGTCATATTACACATTCATCTGATCTGATATCTGATCTTATGGCTGTTTGAGAGAATTTTTTTTAATTATAATTACTACTACTACTTATAAGTGAAGTAGCATAAGAAAATTGGCAAGATATGAGACTTATAATACATTATAACTGAGAAATATAATCCATTGTAAAAGTGGATGCAACGTGTTCATTGTGGAAAGTGTTACCAAAATATCTTAATGGAACATGATCTTTACTTAATATCCTAATGATTTTTGGCATAAAAGAAAAATAGATAATTTTGACCCATTTATGTCAGCCAATTTATGTTGGCTATCCACCTTTTTCTTCAACGCGAAAGTAAGCCTATGGGTGAGACTTCCGGTTCATTAGCCGCTATAGGTAAATAACCAGGAGAATAACGTGCAGTAAACGGTAAATCTGGTTGCACTACAAACCAGTGTGTTCATAATTAAGATAATACATTAAAATAATATGATAAGACAGGCCAACTTTCAATATCAAGCAGCAAAACAAACAGTTTTTGTTCAGCTAAAAATAGCTGGACGGGAGGTGGACGCAGAGACCGGAAGCCAGACCCATAGAATATTCCAAGAAACGTGTCCAAAAATAAGATGGGAGAAATTCTAACTTATGATTTAAAGTTAAAATGTTTACATTTAGTCATTTAGCAGACGCTTTTATCCAAAGCGACTTACAAATGAGATGTTTACATCAAGTTTAGTGTTTACAGTTCCGTTTTAAAACGTAACCGTCAATGTTTACTCTTTATACGCAGCTCTCGCGCTGTCCCTTTAAGAAATACTCTTCCCGCGCGTTCTCGCGGTTCTTCAGCGCTTGGCAACGTGCACGCTGTGTCCTCATACGGACCAATGAGATCACCGCCAACGATCGAGTCCAGCCAATCAGAATCCAGCGTTTGTGCGCACGTTTGAAAATCAGCTTGCTTGCTTGTTTCTCGTCTGTTTGTTTCTCAACACAAACAAGAGACTAACGTTTTTAAAACTAAAACGCATACAAAACAATACAAGACACCGGAAGTTAAGCACAAAGGACGAGAAGTGAATGTGTTACGGTAAGTGAACTGAATGAATGAATCCTGTTGAGTTTGTACATGATAAATAATCGAGCTCTGTTGTGTTAGACCTGCTGTGTGCACGATGCCATCCAAACCTGAAGACTATGAGGTGATGCTCACCATAGGATGTGGATCTTATGGGAAATGCCAGAAAATCAGG